GGATCCTAACATTGTACTTTAGTAGCATTTTAAGTCACCTGTTAATGAGTTTTGTCAAGCATGGATCGAGTTACTTACCAAATCTCTAACAATTGAGAACTACAACAAAGTGTCATGTTTATCTTCATACATTATATCTTCACTCGTCTTTCGAAATTTTTCTCTAACGAAACTTTGAAGCAATTTACAATGAGTTATGACATTTTATTTAAAATAACCATTGGACAGATTATAGAATCATTTTTCAAGATAGTCCAATTGATAAATTTATTTTCTATATATTATACTGATATTTCCTTTTGACGCGATAGCACAAGATTCGACCTTTTTAATGTTAATTAATAAAATCTCTGGTAAACTATTGAAATAAAAAAGTGTGAGTATGTCTACATACATACTCGAAAATCCGTCAGGCCTGGGGACAAGCTCTTGATTGACCAAAGGGAGGTTGAAATGTAGCCGAGGGCTTTTCAAAAGCACAAGAGCTATAGGCATATTTGACATGATGCAGGATAAGCTCTCTCGAGGAACATTGAAATCCGAAGCGAAAAGAAAGATTCACGGGAGGAATGAAATGACGATTCACATCCCCTGTCATAAAAAGTGGAGAGATAAATTGATGTATTTATTGAATTCGTCGTGATTGATAGGATTTGGACTCGCAGTTACAACCTTGAAAGGACAGTGTTATAATTTTGTTGAACTTTCAATCGACGAATTCCATATGTCTACTTAAGCTTTGTAGTATTTAGATAATTTTCAACTTTCATATTTTCCACATAGTTATTGTGTGGTGCTTATTATCCTCAAAGATGAAAAATAAGAGAAGAAACTAAATATTGTAAAACAAGATATGAACCTCAAAAGTTTCATAATTGGTATATTTGATAAGGTAGATACAATATTAATTAACACCATAAAATAGAAAGAGAAGCTTAACCTGGTTTATTTGAACCAAAATCATTTACCATTTACAATCGTTCGCTGTCGTAATCGCTCTATATGATATACATGATTTGATACATTAATGTGGTAATTTTTTATTACTTTATACAATAAATCACTACCCATCACATGTATACAATATAAGGCCACTACATTAGTGAGCAATTGTAAATAACATTATTCTTATGTATATGAGCAAGGCAATTTAAAAAACGTAATAATAATAATAATTAAAAAAAAAAAATGGAACGAGAAGGGGGTTTGTTGTGCAAAATAATAAATGTTTCAATAAATTTCACTCGGTTTCTCACTTTCTAGAATTTCGACTTTCCTGCATGTGGCCTTCCTTCTGTTCTCCACTGCTTCCAATCTCTTTCGGTTCTCTCTCATCTTTTCTTCTTTTCTCTCTCTGCAGTACCTAAGATTGACCTAATTCGTGTTGATTCTAAGAAGCTTCAAAAGTGTTCCAGTTTTTTCTTCCTCAGAATATTAGTGAGTGTCAAGTTTTTCTTTTCTATTCAGTGGATTTGATTTTACAATTGATTGGTTTTAATTCTTTTTTTGTTGCTTTTATGTGGCGGAAAATTATGTAGTTTTGTAATGTTTTGAATTGTCCAAGAGGGAGAACAAGCAAAGAAAATTGTTTATTTTTGTATTGAAGTACTTCTCGTTATGTTAATGCCAGTATTTTGGCTGCAAATTTGTCTTTTTCCTGTTTTTTTTTTTTATATTAAAAAAAATTATATGATACTTGGGATATTTGTTTTGTTTTTTATTTTTTGATTTTTTGATTTTGATTTTTGATTTTTTGATTTTTTGATTTTTTTGATTTTTTTTGCATCAGGGTTTTATTTTGGATCAATTTTTGGTGGGTTTTCTGCAGTTGTTCTTGTCCTGTTCTACTGGTCGTTAGCATCCTCTATCCTGTTTTTGGGAATATTATGTGACTTATTACTGACAGAGAGGAAATCTATTTATAATACGTGAAACATGATGTGCAAAATAAAGAAGGAATCTTAGGAAGGAAATAGAAGAAATACTGACACAATTTTATGGATAGTTTTATTCGTTTAAATTTGCTTATCTAAGTAAAAAATAGTGCAAGATCGTATGAAAGTGTCTGGTTTTGTTTAAATTTTTATTTCTTGAATTCTCCTAATGAAGTATTCATTTACTTCCTCAGTTTAGTAAAGTAAATTGGGAAATGAGTCCCATCCCCCCTTTCACTCGTGCCATTGGGCTAATTCTGTCATCGTTCATTCATTTTCTTGAACATTTGGTAGTAACGGTTAACAGCCTATTTTTGTTTTCTTTTAATTCAGGATCAAGCTCATCGGTACTGAGCTTTTCTTGAGGATCATTTTGTTAATTGTTCTTGATATTAGAGATGGTCGCTGAGTCGTGGTTTCGTAGTTTGTGGAAAACATCAAGGAAGCATGAGTTTGATTCTGAAAAGGCACAGATTGGCGTATTGGCTTTTGAAGTTGTCAGCTTGATGTCTAAGCTGCTTAACCTATGGCATTCACTGGCTGATAAGCAGGTGGCAAAATTGAGGGAGGAAATTATGAATTCCACGGGTATTAAAAAGCTTGTGTCTGAGGATGAGAATTACATTGTGCGGTGGATAGGTTTAGAAATGATGGAGAACTTAGTACACGTGGCAAGAGCCGTGTCTAGACTATCCAAGAAATGCAGTGATCCCATATTAAAGAGTTTTGAGCAAGCATTTAAAGATTTAATCAAGATTGGTGCCGACACTTATGAGTGGCGGTTCACGTGGAGGAAGATGGACCGGAAAGCTAAGAATATGGAACGCTTCATTGTTGCCAACGCAAATTTGTATCAAGAAATGGAAATACTTGCAGATCTCGAACAAACTCTGAAGCGAATGAAGAGTAATGATGACACAGATAGCACTAGTGTCATTGAATATGAAAAGAAGATTGCATGGAAGCAGCAGGAAGTGAAGCATTTGAAGGAGATTTCTCTTTGGAATCAGACCTATGATTTCACAATTCGTCTCTTAGCGAGATCTATATTTACTATATATAGTAGGATTGGGCATGTTTTTGGATTTAATCACATGATCGACATGGAATTGAAAGAATGTGGAGTTCTGGGTTCTGATTATAGCTGTAACAGCCACTCAATCATTTTTCCCCAATCGTCTGTGCACCTGTCTGAAAATAGCAGTCCTAAGTTTTCCTCCGGTCCGTTAGGAAAGTTGATTACTAAATCTGGTCCAGTCTCAAGGAGCAATTTCCATTCCGGTCCTCTTAGAAATTCACTTACAACATCAAGCCCAATCTCTGGAAGACACGATGCTAAGAACTTTTATTCTGGCCCCCTCGAGAGGTCAACGACCAAATCTGGTCCACTTCCAAGAACAAGCAAAAGCATTTGGAAGTTGTGGCGATCTAGTGACAA